CATCAATTATTTTTAGTTAGCATATAGCTAAAATCTAACCATGGTTATATAATAGCAGCTGCATTCTGGCACAATAAGCTGTATGTTTTATATTCAATTAACGTATGATCTGATTAGTCGACTAATCGAAAAAATAATCGGTGATTAATCGATTATAAAAATAATCGTTTGTGGCAGCCCTAGTGTGCAATAATGTAAGCCATTCAGCAGCATTTAAATTAGGGCTGCCACGATTAATCGATTAATCAACGACTAATTTAATAATCGATTAATCGTTTTCTTTTTTTTTTTGTTCTTTACTTTGTTTTTCTCTCCAAACTGTTTTGACACCTTCCACTGCCACATCTGCCTTTCTGTCCTTGACACACATGCGCAGTAGACAGACAGGCTCTGGTATCATGGCTACCCAGCAACGGAGCTCAAAAGTGTGGGATCATTTTAAGAAAATGAAACAGAAACCTGTTCAGTGCAATATCTGTAAGGCAGAACTTGCCTTCCACGGCAGTTATTTTTAGTTAGCATATAGCTAAAATCTAACCATGGTTATATAATAGCAGCTACATTCTGACGTGATAAGCTGTATGTTTTATATTCAATTGATGTATGATCCGATTAGTCGACTAATCGAATAAATAATCGGTGATTAATCGATTATAAAAATAATCGTTTGTGGCAGCCCTAATTTAAATCTAACATATTTCCATATTATAAAGACTTCTTATTGAAAAGTCAAGGGATTCAGACATTTCAAAGCCTGCACGCCCTCTCAAAACTCTCCGTCCAGCCAGCCTTTTGGGCGTCAACAGGATGACCCGTACAGAAATACGAGCGCTTGTGAGTAAAAGCGTGAGCGCACACGGGCGGCCTGACTTTGTCGAAGCTGTCCAACAGCTGACTGGGATCAAACAGCAAACCTGTCAAACTTCAGGCCGTTCACGTTATTCGTCACTGACAACAGATGACGTTACTGGGACGGTTACTGTTTATGAACAACGCTGGACAAGATGGTTTAAAAATTTGTGTTGCAAACTTCTCTTTGCAGATGTTTTAACATCCTGTTAAGAGTTTTATATGTTTAAATAGCAAATAAACAAATCGTGCAAGAAAAGGGTGTTTCTCTGTCGTTTTTCAGCCCAATACTGACACATCCTTGGATAAAGAATGCTGTATTTTAAGGAGTGGTTGAAATAAGTGCTGCTTCTTCAATGTGCAAAATAAGCTTTTAAAGATGTGCCTGCTTTTGGAGCACCGATTAAGCCTTAATTTAAAACTAAAAAAAAGAGCTAAGATGCTAGCTGCTGTCTCAAAAGTAAACGGTTTCTGCTGCTGAGCCAGAAAACTTCAAAGTAAAGCTCATCCTCTGGCTTTTAAATGAAACAGTTTCACTTTCAGATTAATGACAGCAGCTTTAAGCTTCAATTTTTAGTTTTACACAATGTCTAACAAAATTTAAAAAGTGAGCGATTGACTTGTTTTAAAAGGTTTTTCAAAAAAAAAATGTTTCTCTCATTTTACGTCAGTAAATCTCTTCCAGAAACAGGTAAAAGAGTACACTACAGTGGTCTTTGTTTTCAACTGTAAGCAACGACAAACATGTGACAGTAAAACTATTACAATGTCTAGTTTGCTCACAGTCACAACATTACTGTTTTTAATGACGTCAAAATAAAACAGAACTATTTTTTCAAAATCTTGTGAATTTTCACGCATACAGAAATTAAACAAATAAAGTTCATTTAAATAAAAAATAAAAATAAAATTAGACTTACAAGAATATTTCCTCACTCAACCAGAAATACGCACATTTTCAACATTTTCTCTGTAACTAATTTAAATAAAAACATCTCTGCCCAGATGTCAGATCAATCCTCTCCTCGTATTTACTCAAACAAAGAATTTAGACTTAATTTTTTTATTTCTTTACAACAAAAAAATAACTATTTACATATACTGAAACTTAAAAAATTCACCTTCATTTAAAAAAGAAAACATAAAGAAACTGTTTTGTGACAGATTCAAAAGCTGCTCCAGGATTTATTGGAGGAGAAATAATTAGTTTTTATGGTCTTAAAGTTTTTTTTTAACCCTTAGCTTTGTTTTTGATTCAGCTCAAACTTTTTTTAAGGTTTAAACAAACATGTTTTATCTAATATGATTAGCATGTAATCAAGGTCAGTTTATGTAGTGACCATGATGTTTTAGCTGACGCACATACTATAAAAGTTGATATTTGACAAGTTTATACTTAAGTTTTATAGTTTAAGACTTTAAGGTGTGCTGTTGTTTTCCACAGTGGTTTTGAAATCTCCGTTTTCTTAAACGTTGCGTATGAATGCACACTGACAATATGAAAAACTAAATTTTATTGCCTCACAAAATGTCCCATTCTTCCAGTCACTGACTGTATTTTATATCAAACTGAGTCTTTGACAGCTGTACGTGAAGCATCAAGTCAAATTTATAATTGTCATTTGATCCAAATAACACTGTAAAAGTATAACTTTCATAATAAAGTATTAATAGTATGAAAACTTTAATTAATATCCTGCAAACTGTCCCCGGGCCTGCAGTTGCCACATCCGATTCTTGGCATTCAGATGCAAATTGTGACTAATGTATATTCTTTAATCATATTAAATTGTTTTGATTTTTTAACCGACAGATGTAAGTTTATTGTATAAAATTTTGGTTTGTCTAATCCAGACCATATCTGAGCAACAGAGTCTAAATTTGTTGCAAATATCCTCGGTGTCTTCAAGCAACCTGATGCCTTTAAGGTGGTGGAAAAGTTCTGAGTCGCTCCTATTTTTAATTTATATTTCAATACAAGTTGAGTACAGCAATTTATTAATTTCGTGCATTTACAATGTGGAAAACAGCCCCTTTATGTAGGTTTATTTGTGTATTTTATTTTGTAAAAAAGTAAAATAAAAGTCCATTAAAATAAAATCAAGACTTTCAAAATAATAATCCAACACACTCTGCTTGTTTTTAATGACATAATTCAGAATAACTGACCTGCATAGGTGTAATTAGGGGGGTTATGACCCCCACAATAATTTGATCCAGTCAATATAACCCTCACCCTCCCCAATAAAATGACATCATTTGCTCAAACACAATAGAAATTAACTGGTGAAG